TTTCAGGAGACGACTGAAAGAGATGGGCTTTATCATCTATGGAAATGAAGATTCCCCTGTTGTGCCTCTTATGCTGTATATGCCAGCAAAAATTGGGTAGGTTTGATGGGAAAATTTCTCATTCATCTACTTCAAAACTAGGATGTGACAACAATATTAAGACTTGCCTGAGAGTAAGAAAAGACGGGCTTGCTTTTTACTTTTATGGATGTTAGTCTCATAAAACATGGACACTTTATATAAGTCGTCAAGAGAGAATTGGACTTGTAGCTTAAGGCACTGGCAAAGCACTTCAGAGAAGTAATTTTACCACTACATTCCCTTTTCAAAAGCTTTTTCATTTCATTTGTAAGTAAAGTGCATATATGCACTAAAGAGAAGCTGAAATTCAATGGAAATTAGTTATTCACATATAATGTTACTGGAGGAATTTTTCAAGCAACACATGGATCAGAAGCAGCCAACACTTTCATCAATGAACTCTGAAAATTAGAAGGTAGGGGGAGGGGTAGGAGGAGAACAAACTGTATTGATGAATCTGAAGTTTGTTAAATGCTCTAGATCTAATAGCTTACGTGTTGTTATTGCAAGTACTAGTAGAACTATATCACACAGCTTTATAAATGCTTGCGGACTTGACTGTGGTTTGAATAACTAAGGCTAAAATTCTGCAAGTAGGATAAGTGTATACTTTTGGGGGGGGGGGGAACATATAAAAAAAACAAGGACAGCTTGGCTTTGGTAGCTGCTTTTCACAGTGTTCATGTATAATACCATGCTCAACAAACGCATTCAAACTTGAAAAGCATATTTAGGCACCCATAATACCATCAAGAAGTAGCTTTGTTTTCAGAAGTTCAGAACATCTTTCGTCCTCTTCTAGCTCAGCTTGGCTTCCTGTGACTCCACAGTGTACCTTAATTAAATTGGTGAAAACAAACTTTGAAACTGCAGAAGTGTCTGCTGTGGGGGTGGGCAGCAGGGGGGAATTCCTTGCAGAGTCAGACTTCTGAGCGAGTCAGACTTCTGAGCCTAAGTCCCTGTTTCCTATCAGAAAGATTTTCAAGCTTAGGTTACAAATCCATTTAGAAACAGCCTGCTAAAAGACCAGCCCCTGCCACATATAATCTTTCAGCTTTGTTAGAACTTAATACAGTGAAATCTTTCTAGGAAGACCACCTCAGGACTGAACCAAAAAAGGCTTTTGTGAACAGGCATTCTACCTCTAAAAGAAAGCATTGGCAGGTCTGAGTTGCAGTCTTACAGGCTTATTTCATCAAAGGCCCATGTGAATTAACGTACCTAGACCTGCGTGCAGTTGCTGCTTTGTGTCCGCTTTGGTATCTGTCTGATATTGTTCCTTGCTCTCTCTGGCAGTGCGTTTGGGCGTGAGATGCTGAAGCGGAACATTGGTGTTGTGGTTGTGGGTTTCCCTGCAACCCCAATCATCGAGTCCAGAGCCAGATTTTGTTTGTCTGCAGCTCATACCAAAGAGATACTTGATACGGTAAGTGTCTCATCTTGTCTCCCTCTTGCTCGCGCCCTCTATAAACAGAGATAAGTTGTCTATTTTTTTTATGGACTGGTTCTATGTTTGGCGCACAAACTAACTGAACTGAGTGTTCAAAGCCCTGTGTAGCAAAGCTGACAATGACTCTAGATCTCTTTCCTTATTGTGTTGATGGAGGATGGTTGCCTACAGTAAATCCTAGGGACTTTCTCTTCCTATTTTAAATGGCCAAACAAAGAAGTATTCCTTGGAAACAGTTCTTTTTACCTCTTAAAAGGCTCTACCCTCCCCGCTCGGGCTAGTAGAACTGAATCTTTGAGAAGGAAAAAAATTCTGCTTTCTCTGACCTTTGATGCACAAGTTTTTAAAAAACAAACAAACAAACAACTATATTCTTCTCAAGAGTCAGTGCAGACCTCGGCATATGACCTACTTGTTAGAATTTTTATTCCAAGGATTGCTATTCCAGTTCTTGCTTATGGCTTCAGAGCATAGTTTCCTAAACTGTTTTGTCCTGTGATCACCTCCTCAATGAAACTCTGCCATCTGCAATGTCTTCCTGACTCCTGCTGCAGTTAGCCTGTTCCAGTGAGAATGACAGTCTCCTTGAAGGAGGCCTGCCTTACAGTTAGGAGATGCTGCCTTAAAAATTAAAGATGGAATTCTACTTTCTGACAAATGTAGTTGGCAGGGGATGATATGATTGAGTCTGATTGTCCTAACTACATTTTAGTGTGGCAACTACATTTATTTTTGTGTCTTCTTTGATTAGACATATATATGGTTTGTCCTAGGCTGTGTCAAACTTCTCCATTGTGCTTTTTCGTATTTTGCTGTTCTGTGACTCAAAGCCTCTGCTAGCTTGGGTTGCAATGCTGGACATCAGGAGAGCGCGCTTTGGCCTGTTCAGGGATCTGCCTGGAAGAATCCCAGGGAATATGGCCCTAGAAAGAACAGGGATTTAGGAAAGCTGGTTGATTTGCAAGGATTTACCTCTGCCGAGCTCAAGAATGGTCCATCCTGATGTGCAGAAAATGAAGCAAAGGTGGTGGATGGATGCCTGCTTGGATGGTCAAGGAGCTCCTGACAACTCAAACATAAAAAGGAAGCCTATAAGAGGTAGAAGCAGGGACCGGTGACCTAGAAGGAATAGAGAGACACTGTCCAAGCATGCACGGATAGGGTTAGGAAAGCCAACGCCCACCTGGAGTTCAGTCTGGTTAGGGAAATGAAAGGCAACAAGAAGGGCTTTTACAAGGATATCAGCTGCAAAAGGAAGCTGTGGGCCTGCTTCTGAATGGTACCCGGTGACAAAGGACATGGAAAAGGCCAAGGTACTCAATGCCTTTGTTGCCTTAGTCTTTACTGATAAGACTTGTCTTCAGGAATTCCAGGCCCCTGAGATCAATGGGAAAATCTGGAGCAGTGAAGACTTACCCTCAGTGGAGGAGGATCAGATTAGGGAACCTTTAAACAGCATGGACATACACAAGTCCATGGGCCATGATGGAATGGATCCATGAGTGCTGAGGGATCTAACCAATGTCACTGCGAGGCCGCTCTCTATTATCTTTGAAAGGTCGTGGTGATCAAGAGAGATTCCTGAGGACTGGAAGAAGGAAGTGTCACCCCTGTTTTCAAGAAGGGCAGGAATGAGGATCCGGGATACAACAGGCTGAGCAGCCTCACCTTGATCCCTGGGCAGGTGATGGAGCAAATAATGCTGGAAACTATTTCCAAACTTATGTACAAGAATGTGATTAGGAGTAGTCAGCGTGGATTTGTAAAGGGGAAATCACGCTTGACCAGCCTGGTTGCCTGAGATAACTGACTCGGTGGATGAGGGAAGAGCAGTGGATGCTGTTCATCTTGACTTTGGTAGGGCTTTTGACAATGTCTCCCATAGCATCCTCATGGACCAACTGAAGAAGTGTGGTCTAGAAAAGTGGACGCTGAGATGGACTTAACTGGGTGAACTGTTGGGCTCAAAGCTTTGTAATCAGTGGCATTCAGTCCAGCTGAAGGTCAGCTGCTGGTGGTGTCCCCCAGGGGTTGATACTGGGGCCAGTACTGTTCAACGTCTTCATTCATGACCTGGGCAATGAGACACTGCACCCTCGGCAAGTTTGCCAAGAATGCAAAACTGGGAAGAGCGCACATCAAATGGTTGTGCTGCCATTCAGAGGGACCTCAGCAGGCCGGAGAAATAGGCAGACAGAAATCTCGTGAAGTTCAACAAAGAAAAATACTACCAAGTCCTACACCTGGAGAGGAATAACTCCATGCACCATTACAGGCTTAGGATTGACTGGCTAGAGAGCAGCTTTGCAGAAAAGGACCTGGGGGTCCTGGTGAACATCGAGTTGGACATGAGTCAGCAATGTACCCTTGCAGCAAAGAAGGCCAGCAGTATTCTAGGCTGTATTAGGAAGACCGTTGCCAGCAGGTCAAGGGAGGTGATCCTTTGCCTCTCCTCAGCACTGGTGAGGCCACCTCTGGAATGCTGTGTCCAGTGCTGAGCTCCCCAGTACTAGACAGATTTACTGGAATGAGTCCACCAAAGGACCACAAAAATGATTAAGGGACTGAATCATCTGTCATATGAGGAGAGGCTGAGAGAGCGGGGACAGTTTAGCCTGGAGAAAGAGACGGCTTGGGGGGTAAGACATCTTACCAGTGTAGACTATCTCTAGAGGTCCCTTCTAGCCTCAACCATTTTGTGATTCTGAGTTACCGCTTCCTGTTCCTCCTAGGAAATACCTCAATGACCAACAGAATCAGTCAGTGACTTTTTTCCTGACGTTGTACTGCAGACAGTAGCTCAGCACAGAACTAGGGAATACTGCTGCTGGAGTTAACTGAATTGGTTGGGAAACTGTTTAAAGTACTCTCTCACTTTTTCTTTGAAGAAGCAAGGCAGCTAGGGTAGAGGGGGGGAAAGAAGGATGGCAAGGATGTTCCAGATCACTTCTCTACAGTATTACTGAAAATGAGAATATTTAAATGCAGGAAATGGTTCACACGGCTGCCTGAATGGCTGCTGTAATGGAGATGTAACACTGTCAGATGGAGTACAGTTAGATTTGTTATAGCAAAAATGTCCGATATGATTAGGTGGTAACATTTCAATAACAGGAACAGCAGGTATGAATTTGCATGTACCAACATCTTGTTTTTTAAAAAAAAAAAAAAAAAAGATTCAACCTTCTTGTGCTTCACTGTCACTGAACTTTTAAATCAATAGCTGAAAATGGACCCTTTTGATCTCAATCTTGTTAGGAAAAGCAGAAAGTCAGCAGAACGTGCATGTATGTTTAGTGTAGTTCTGTTTCAGTTAATACCCAGTCATGTATCTGCAGTGCTGTACTTGCTGTTTCTTAGTCATTTCTGCCTTGTAAGACCGGAGAGATTCTGCCTTGGCGCTCCAACAACAGACTGTTTAAGCAATTCCTTCCCAGCTACTTGTCCTGTTACTCTTCCCTTAATTATGCAAATTCAACTGTTTTTGTTCTAAATAAAAAGTCTGAATGAAACTATGGAGGGGGCCCTCTCCTTCCCTTCCCACCCCCACTCCTGTATAGAATGAAGAGTATCATAAATTTCTCTTAGAGCATGGTAATAGAAATGACTGCATCGACACAGATGAGAGTGTGCTAACTTCTGGCCAGGTGGACATGGGGAACTGAATGGCAAGGAGGAAAAAAAAAGGGGGGGGGGGCATTTAAATATTTTATGTCATATTGCTGCACATTGAACTAGTTATGTAGAGCCACATCAGGTTTACACAGTTTAAGTTGTGCTCTGACATTATGTGAGCAACCACAGAGGCTTGCTGTCAGCTGGATTCTTTCTTCTCCCTTAGCTAGGGTCTTTACTATAACAGGCTGGTTTCACAGAGTGTTTATAAAGTACTATGTTTGTTCCCTTCCAAAACCAATCTAACTTTTATGACTCTGTTTAAAAACCTCTTTTCCTGTCAAGCAATTTACAAGTCTTTCAGCCTCCCAGAAAATGTTTCAAGTTTTACGCATTTGCTTTCACTCTGAAGACTCCTTTCTATAGCACCTCTATAGGTGCTAAATGCTCTAAATCAAGGAAAATGCTCATTTAATATATTAGGGCATGTCTACCTGAGGAAAATTAATCCAAGACAAAATGAGTTATGAATTTCAAAATGAATGAACAAATGCTGATTTAACTCAGCACATGGTGGCTTTATTCCAAATTAGCATAATCCACTCTGAAGTTCAAAACAACTGCATACTCTGGACCCAGAGCATTTGCAAGTGGAGTTAATAAGGAATCGTTGTGTAGACAATTTCTTCTGTTTTCTTCTGATGCAGTGAAGGAGGATTGGTTTCAAACAGCCAATAATTAAGCCCGCCATCAGAACTGATCCCTCTGCTGAATTGTGGCAACAATAGCCAGGAGAAGAAATTAAATGAATAGAACTAGAGAGGGTCAAGGGCCTCTAAAAGTCAGTACTAGAGAAGAGAACTGGGTAGCCCATTCATGTGTGCATGGATGCTAGCTACTGCTGTTATCCTGGCATTTTTCTATACAGACTTCATCCAGGTTTGGAGTATGGTGGAGAGAAACTCAACTTGTAAATGGTGATATTTGTAATGCTTCCTTGTTCTTATTAAATAAACCCACATGATGGAGAGCAGTTCTCAGTTACAATTTTCACTGTTTTATGTAAATAAAACTTCCTTGCCCGAAAATATTTGGCTCAGGATCAGAGTGAAGTCCCTCATAACCTGCATCCCTGTGGGCTGGTGCTTTCTTTTCCGTGTTGAAAAAAATATTACACTCTCCTGAAGTCAGAGTTCACCAATGCCATTTCCTTTGTAGTCTTTACTAGTCACATGGTCCTTTTTGTTTTAAATTAATAAAATCCTAAATCTGAGTTCAAGAATAACAGTTAACAGGCTCTTTCAACAGAAATTCAACCTTAAATTGTTTCCATATGGGGTCTTTACTTAAAGCTCTGGTAAAGCGTGCCCACGCTTTTGTTTTTACTGAAGTCCAACTTCTGGGCTTGTCATTCCCCCAGCTTTTAGAGTGCAGAGATTCTTGCTGCCAGATATAACAAGCATGAGGGGCCATTGTTTAAAGAAACAAAAACTGAACTATCCATCCAGGAAGGAAAAGCATGTAGGGATATTAACCCCCATCTGCCAACTATTCTCAAGAGACAGGCATTTGACCCAGAACATGTTAAAATTGGAGCGCTAATGTTGAATTAGTGGCATTCTGAAGGAATGCTGAGGGTGCCTATCTGAACAAACTTTAAATTCAAAGGAGTGCAAAATGCCAGCCTTTAAGTTCAAAAATCACATTGGACTTGGAAGTCATCTTCTGAAATCATCTCTTTGTCACTTGCCATGTGTAAGGTAATTAGCATCACATACTGTTGCAAATTTGTCTGTAGTGACTGGTTTATTTTGGACCTCGCTGCAAAAGTGTTCTGCAAAGAAATTGCAGCCTAGGGTTTGATTTTTTTTTTTTTTATTTTTTTTTTCCTTCTCTCAACAAACTCTATTGTAAACCAGTCTCTGCTCAAAGAGAATGCAAACTAAGGAAAGCCTGATTGTCTGACCAGGGATTTTCTCATCTCTTGTAGAGACTAGTAGATGTTTGATCCCTGGTAATGTCATATGACTTGCCTTTGGGACATAACGATGGAAGGTTGTGTAGTTCACTAGCAGTGCTCTGGGCTATCAGTCCTCTAAGCGCTGCTTTTGTGGTGACTTCAATCATTGAGACTTGCTTTCTAGGGATAAAAAGCTTGAGATCCTACCCAGAGAACTACTTTGTTCATTCATTGGATATGTTGGCAAAAATCTCCCGTGCATCGTTGTTTACGATACGGAGCTTGCCGGTCTAGTGATGTGAACAAGTCCAATTAACTATATGCAGATAAAATGAATGCACCAATAAAACCTGTTAGCCCAATATTGCAGGTTGCTTTTAATGGTCTTGCAATTAAAATTCAGTCATTCAGAGATAGTATTCCAACATGCACACACTTTTTTCGTAGCCACATAAACCATATAGAGGAGTCAAACCTTCAAATGCATCTTCTCCTCTTCAGCTTTATAAACCCTCAGGAAGATAGGACTGTATGGTTCTCAGTTGATCTGTCATGGTTGCATCTGAGATAGTATTGCTGGATGTTATATTCCTGCCTCGAGAGGGGAGTAGTCAGGTGGATACAGAGGGCCTAGTTAAGTGAGCAGTGCTTCTCACTCGGTCTTGAGACTTCTGGCTGCTAAAATTCAAGCAAATTCAGTGCACCTCTGAAGCTAAGGACTTCTAGCATGGTAAAATCTTATTCAGGTAAAATGGCTGTCTGTGGGCATGCAAAAGGGAAAATGTGCAGTTAATTTTCTTGCATGTGTTTCCTCTGCTGATATACTGTGGTCTCTTTCTTAGGCTTTAAAAGAAATTAATGAAGTCGGGGACCTTTTGCAACTGAAATATTCCCGTCATCGGTTGGTACCTCTCTTGGACCGGCCATTTGATGAGACTACATATGAAGAAACAGAAGACTGAACTCCCTCCATGTGCCTTGGTGGGAGAAACACACCCCATGGGACGCTCTGTGGCACACAGGCCGCAGAGTCCGTGAACGACACACTTATGACTGCTTAGCATAAAAGACATTTCCTCACAATACTGAAGTGGCGACATCAGCTCTAAATGGCATTTTGTAAATAGGGAGAGGAAACAAAAGCTTTGATCCTTGTGTCTTCAGGGTCTGGCCCTAGAGGTGCTTGGCTTTATTTTTTTTCTTAATGCTTTTTTATTTATTTGTCACAATGAATTCACGGCAACCCTAGTTGGCTGTGGGTGATCAGCTCAGACTTTGTATGCACCATTAGCCTTCGCAGTGCTGGCTGAGATGTTGTGAGCATGTGTGATGCTGGCATGGCAGCATTTCCAGTGTCACTGCTAGGTGTCTGACCTTCCCAGTAAGGAGCGAGCTGACCTGTCTGTTCATTCAAGAACTCCTAGAGAAACTGTTGATTGCTAACTGTAACGTACTTAACAAGATGGATAATCAACCAAAGCTTTTTTCTTTTGCAGTTACTTGTGTTTAAAACTTGAATTTAGCCTTTTTTAAATAAATGTGTTGTTGACAAGTCACTGACAGGACCATTGTTCCCAAATATTTTTTAGTTTTGTAAGCCACAAACAAAGTCTTCTGGGACTCTATCCTCTCTTCCTTCCCAGTATGGATACTAGATTGTCTCTTGGTTTTGACAGTAACTCTTCTTGATGTAGAGTAAGTGCTTGAGAGATTTTTTTCATAGGCTGAGTTTTGTCTTCCTTCTGACATGCTTCTGTTTTGTTTGTTTCTAAGTGGTTTTAGTGAGTTTTGCTTTCTCCTCCACAGGTGAATTTATCCTATGCTTTAGAACTATCACAAAACCATGAACGAGTATCTAGTAACTGATAGGTTCTAAAAAGGATATTCTTGGAATCAAATAAACCATAGCAAACCTTGTGCTTCCTGATAAGATCAGAACCACTCAAAAATCGGGGCTATGCAATGGATGACAACTAGGAAACCACTTACTTCATGCAGATCTGTGTAAGAGCGATTGCTACCCTTTGCCACACTAATTCACTGTTTCTTGTAATATTTGAGATGTTCTTTGTTGGCCTTGCTGTGAAAGGAGTTTATACAAAGAGTATAGATAGCTTGGGTCTTACATCATACGTATTTTTTCAGGTAACCAACAAAATCTCTCAGCTGGCAGCTGCATGTCTATGTAGGCCTTCCCTGAAGAGAGAACGTGCTCACAATTGCATCGAGTTTGAGATCTTTTCTTTTGCATTCCTACTGCTGTGAGATCATATTTAGTGTTCACAGAGCAGTTGTTGTTCGAAATCTTTATTTTCAAATTCCACGCTGTCTTATTCTATTATAAGTATAAAATAGACACCTCAGACACCTTTACTTAGCACACCTTAGAGGTGGTCAGCTAGTTAGCCATTGCATCTTGAATGCTTTCAGAGACTAGAACGGATCCTTGAAGAGGTACCAGAAATTTTATAGCAAGGGTTGGTTGCAGTGTTGTTTGTTCCTATATATTTACCTTGGGCACATAGATTTTCTGTAAAGATAGCAATACTCCAGCATTGTGAAGCATAAAGGTTAATTCAGGTTTTTGGCTAGCCATACAGTTCAGTTAGTCATACTTTTTGCAGGTGACAGTTGACTTTTTTTTTTAAACAAATTCTTCATCTTAAAGCTAAAGCAAAGTGCAGCTCAAAGCAATTTGGTGCTGCAAAAAAATGTTTAGAGTTTTTCCTTTGTGTTCACTCTGCAGCTAACAGGGATAGAGCTCTTCAGTCACTAGAACCAAGCATTTCTGCAAACTCATCTCACAAATTAGAGAATTGTCTTCCATTTTATCGAATATCTATCTTCACATGTTTATAGGTCTTGTTCTATTTCAGCGTAAATGAACTTCAAAACACTGATTCCATTTTTACCATTGCATTTCAGAAATTAAAAAAAAAATGGCTATTTTTTAAAATAGGTCAGGATAACTGTTTCTGATTTAGTCCGTCCACTAATGTTGATTTGTTAGTCTTCTGGAGCAAAGTGTGTGCCCAGTGTAAGTCTGCATTTGCAGCCTTGATAGGTATTCTAATTTGTTCAGCCATAGAGTAAACTGCAATTAGGTGAGCTTACCTTATCAGTTTGACCCGTCTCACCTGCACTCTGCCCAGGACTACTTCTAACATTCCAGCAGATTACTACTTTTCTGACTTTAAGAAGCTTTACCTCAAAATTATTGCTGCTTTCTTTCCTGAGGAAGTCAGCACAGGAATTCCTGGAGTGGAGGGCTCACTCCAGCCCTGAGACTGTTCACTTAATCATGGAACAGTTTGAGAGCTGACAAAAAGAACCAATGCAGAGGCGTAGGTATGGGTCAGTGGGGAGCTATTTTGAGCATTCCCAAATGGACAGTGGCTTGTGTCTGCTGTGCGGTCAGTCAGTTTGAAAACTGTGACATATTAAGTTAGAGGTGGGTTATCTTATATTCTACAAGTCTTCTGAGTCCTAATCGTATTTCTGGGATTTAGTTCTAGGGCAGCTTGTCTTTAGAAAGGGAGAAAAAAGTCTGGACATATATGAGTAATTCAGTTAACATTTCTGTAACAGTAAAACATTTCTGAAATTGTCAGTGTTTTAAAATGATTGGTGTCTGCTGCGATTCCTGTTGCACTTGTTTGCAGAAACTCTGTTCATGCTAAACTTCTGCAGACTTGATAGGTATATAACCTGCATATAACTGTGAATTCTGGGTTGCTAAGACACTGCAGAAATCACTCAGGCACTTGGTAGGGTTTGCAAACTGCTTGGTTACATTTCAGCCCTGTCACGTCCATTTGGGGAAGCAATTCCCCCCGCCCCGAGGCCTGTTACTCAGGGGAAACTGTTTTTGCCAAAGTCTGGTTCCTGTTGAAACTGCTTCTCAAAAAGTAGTAAATAATGAGTTTGAGATTTAGCACTTTAAGTTAGTAATTCTCTGAACATGAAAGCCAGGAAAATCTTTCCATATTTACTGAAAAACTTGGTTCCTACAACTAATGGAGTAGAGCATTACTGTATTGTATGAGGCAGACCTACAGCATGAATGGTGGCAAAGGTGTGTGGAATGGATTACTGATTTTGACAGTTATGAACGGGCTACAAGTCTGTCTCCTTTTAGTCCGGGCAGCAGAAGCAAATGAAAGAACCAGTCCTGAGAGGTTACAAAGGAAGAGAAGCTGCTTAAGAAATAGACTTCAGTCCCTGCCAACTTTTCTGAGAATTTCTAATTGAAAATGACTCCTGGTATTTCTTGAGAGACAAAATTCAAAAGAAAATGAAGGCTACTCTTGAACAAAGGGTTTTGTATTGTGCTGTATACTGGCTAAACTTATTCATAAACCTACAGTAGCTGCCTTCCCAGTACCTCTCTGAAGAACTTGGCAAACAAGACTTTGCCTCTGCTGAGCTGAGCGAAGAGTTTATAACCATTATAGTTTAAGGCTGGTGACCACATTCTTTTGAGAAAATAGAGAAGCTTCTATTACTGAGCATCAGTGAAGAGTGAGAGATGTCCTTCTTGATAGCAACTGGCCTTCTCAAGTCGGAGGAGACCTTTGTGTTAAGGAGCCTGATTCATAATTTCTCTTCAGTCCTTTGGCAGGAAGGAAACCAAGTTTTGTTTTGTTTTTTGTATCAGAATATTCAGGGCTTTTTTTACACAAGACACAAACTTTTGTATAGTATCTGTGTATATGGTATATTTAACACTTTTTGTTTAGTTCCTATATTTTTCCCTCTCTTAGGGAGCATCCTTAAGGAGCTGTTGTGGTTCTTGGGTTACCAGTGTAGCATGCTTCTGCTTTAGACAAAGACTGGGGAGTGAACTGACCAAACGCTTCAGAGCGATGAAGTCATTCAGTGAAGGAATTGCATCATTTATCCTCCTCTTGCTGTTTCCTCTCAGAGTACAGAAGTGGTACCCGCTCTCGGAACTGCAGGAAAGGGGAGCGTTCCAGTGAAATTAGTGATCCAGCCCTGTGCTGTTTGGATGAAGGAAATCTAGCTTCCTGATACAGCAGAGATGGAGAAAAGGGGCAGTCGATCGTCAGGTTTTTTCCAGCTGTATAGGAATCTTTCATGTCTACTGGAACAAGGATCCTTATAATAGGAGTGCAACTTTATGGGCTCAAAGGGACACTTCTATAAAACTTTCCCACATGAAATAAATACTACTACTCTTTCTGTGCAAATTTTCATTTCTTTACATCTTTGGAAAAGTTTTTGGCTTACAGGAGTTTTCTCATCTAGAAGGCATATTATCCATTCACACAGATCATAGGAAAGGTTGGAAGAAAGACGTGAGTTGTCCATTTCATCCAAGAGAACATCTTGGAGCATTGTACCTGGAGTGCTATGCATAAACCCCCTTGCCCCATCACATAAAATAAAACTTGTGGAGATTTAGCCCAATATACAACGCTCAGTCTAAATTACTACAGTTTATACTCAACCTGTGAAGGAGCCAAGCATGTGGGTGCCTGTGTGGGTTGCACCTTCTGAATGGAGACTTGAGGTACCCGCAGTCTTTTCTGTTTTAATACAAGTGAAGCATTAGGCTGTCTGTGAATGCCTAATATGACCCCTCACTGGGTAAATTGCTGGCTTCAGCACTAGTGCTGGCACCCAAGTGGTGTTGGACCACTGTTTGGGAAAAGCAGCAGTCATATGACATATACAATTTAAAAATAGCTTTGAAAAGAGGGGGGGGGGGGGGGGGGGGAGAAGGAACTCAGATGTCATTGTAATGGCTTGTATTCCTGTAAACATTTTCAGTCTTGCAAGTTGTTTTCGCGTTCAAAAATTTGGATGTGAATCCAAAGCATACCCATGAAGTGTTTATGTGAAGTATCGAGCTTCATCTTTCACTAAAAAGAGAAGTGTCTAGTGCAGAGTGGAGCTGTTCTGTTTACATCCTCAAAAGGGGTTGGGTGAAGAAGGAAAAGATGACTGTGTTGTGGTGTGTGTTGAAGGCCTTAAACTGTGACTCTTGGTATGAAGAATTGAAATTAAAACTGATCCTGAAGAATGCAGTGGATTTCAACCCACAGATAATCTGTGCTCTTAGTTAAGCAATACGTACTGTTGTTTTCTGGGGAGGGAGAGAGCGGTTAAGCTCAATTTGTGCTTGACCTTGGCTATCAGCTGTTTAAAGAGCAGAAGAGGCATCTGTATGTGAAGGCCAAAAATAGTGCAGTTCTCTGCACCCATGCCCCTATGTAGCAAAGATTGGTAACTCGTTCCTAGGCCGCTGAAAGGGGGAGAATTATTGAGAGGGTCAGGGAGTTTGGAAGCAGTGGCAACTAGCAGATTTCCTCCACAGTAGATGAGCAGGTCTCACTTGAATATGCCAAGGGTTGGTGCAGCTCCAGAAATACCCATGGCTAAGTGAAACGTGCACCAAACCATCTGAATGCCGTAATGCACTTTTTTTTTTTTTGCCAAATCTCATCCTGTTCAGATAGCATTTCTGCTACCCCCTAATGGTGTATTAAGCTAAATGCATCTCCAGCCTTCCAGCATTAACTTCAGAACAGTTTGAGAGAGAGATCAGAGTAACGTTGGAGCCTGAGGCTTTAGGTTAGCAGCCCCAAAGCCAATGGTGGCCCACATTTCCACAGGCCCTGGGCAGAATTACCACCAAGTCACAGCACTTAGTCTTAAATTGCACTGTATTCTTATGCCTCTGTGTTGCTATAATGTACATATATATTGGATTTTTTTGTAGATAAAACATTTTAGATAAAATTTTTAAATGGGCTCCCCCCAAAATATTTTATGCCAGATGTCTAATTTTTTTTACACTCAGAATTAACATGAAGTTGGATGCTCTGTGGGCAGGAAAAAGATAAATACATGGTACATTGGCTTTAAAAGGGTAACAATGCATGTTAAAACAAAAAGAGAAAAAAAAGAGAAAAAACTGCTTGGAAAAAATCCATTCAAATATATTCTATGTTCTGCATAATAAAGAATTCAAATAAAAAGTCATGGTTATACTGTGATTTTTCTTAATGCTAATGAGATTTGTGCCCTATTACTGCATCAAAAAAAAAAACAGTAACAAAAACAAAACGATGGAGTTTCCTACTGGAACAGCTAGCTAAAACTGTAGCCTGTTTCAGAGGTCAGATAAATCAGTGTTCCCCTCTGTCCTTGGACGCCAGAGCCAGGAAGCCTTGCATGTGAGATACATGCTTAGCCGTTTCCTACCAGTCTCTGGTCCATAGTACAGCAACAACCCTCCAGTCACTGATGCAGGGTCCAGAGAAGCTGCTTCTCTAATAGAGAGACGGGGCTCCAGAGGTTCCTGACGTGCAGTGGTCTCTCGAGGGCCCAGAAGTGGGCTCTGTGCTAGTCCCATAAAGCTGGCTCCTTGCAGAAAGTGGGCTAGCTGGCCTTCAGTCCTGTCAGAGTGGATTCCCACCACTACTCTTGAGTGACAGACGGTTATCAGCTGTCATGCTGCTAATTAAATGTTTGAAAGGGCTTCTTGATCCATCTCACATGGGATTCTTGACCTCACATCTGTCTTGCAGTCTGTGGCTTGCTTTAAACATTCCCTTCCATTCATTTCAGCCCAAAGTTTGCATAAACCAGATGTTGGTGTTTGAAAAGGAGGTTCAAGACCTGTGTTCAGCTGTGGGTGCATGAATTGGCTCACGTGTGATTGCTGGGTTGTGCTAACGCTACGGTAGCAATGTCAGACTTCCTTTTCCCCTGCTGGGCATCCCTCTTCCCGATCTAGGCCAATGTTGGCCTTTTTTTTTCTTTTTTTTTCTTTTTTTTTTCCCCTCAAAGCCTGCCTTTCGGTTTTTTTCCCTAATATGAGAGCGGATAACACCCTGTGAAGATCCTGGGAAAGATGCTTGCTAGGCTGCTAGTAAATACCTACACCGTATTTCGGAGGGGCTTTGAGGGCTAGAAAAGATGTTGTGAGCAGGGGAGAGCTGGTTTAAAAACAAAGACTTGCTTCAAGAGATAGAAACTTGCTCCTGCAGCGCGGGAGCAGCTGGAGCTTGGACGCCGGAGCGCGGAGCCCTGTTTCTGCTTGGCGCAGGGCTGCGCCTGGTGGGAGCTGCTCCATCCCGCTCT